ATATATATATATATATATATATGTGTGTGCATATATAAATGTAGCTTATTACATGGAATCTTAACGTGGTCTGTCTTTTTTATTCAAATATATATATATATATATATATATATATATATATATATATATATATGTATATATAAATGTAGCTTATTACATGGAATCTTAACGTGGTCTGTCTTTTATTCAAATATATATATATATATATATATATATATACCTATGTACATATATAAATGTAGCTTATTACATGGAATCTTAACGTGGTCTGTCTTTTATTCAAATATATATATATATATATATATATATATATATATATATATATATATATATACCTATGTACATATATAAATGTAGCTTATTACATGGAATCTTAACGTGGTCTGTCTTTTATTCAAATATATATATATATATATATATATATATATATATATATATATATACATATATAAAATGTAGCTTATTACATGGAATCTTAACGTGGTCTGTCTTTTATTCAAATATATATATATATATATATATATATATATATATATATATATATATACCTATGTACATATATAAATGTAGCTTATTACATGGAATCTTAACGTGGTCTGTCTTTTATTCAAATATATATATATATATATATATATATATATATATATATATATATATATATACCTATGTACATATATAAATGTAGCTTATTACATGGAATCTAACGTGGTCTGTCTTTTTTATTCAAATATATATATATATATATATATATATATATATATATATATATATATATATATATATATATACCCTATGTACATATAAATGTATGCATTTATGTATGTATGTAAGGAAAATCATCAATTTAGATGTGATGAATATGGCAGTCTTTCTAACGTAGACCTCATTAGCCAGAAGAAGAATTACATTTGTAGACCTTTAATCAAGTGCGATCCCGACAATGTTGAAAATAACAAAATGTAGTGTGAAAAAAAAACCCTACAGAATCCGATCCAGTCTCACCAGAATCCGATCCGGTGTCATGACAAGCTACCACTAACCTGAATAGAATTTACAAAATAGGACAAGCCCTATATAGAACAACTTATTTTGAAAACTTTCAGAATGACATGGATTCCTTCTCAATGGCGTGAAAGCTTCTGATTGGTTAAAAAAAGGTGATTGCATTTATTTGAAATTTTTGTATATTCTAATCGGAAGGATGTGCGTTGATCCCTATACGCAAAGACCATGTTTTGTTATTTTTATTTCTTCGTTTGAGGTTTTCACATCCGATTATACATGTATATATATATATATATATATATATATATATATATATATATATATTTATATATCTATATGTGACGAATGTTGCCGTGTGTACCTCACCAATGTCGAAGAAACGTAACATTGGTAGACTTTTGAGAAATTGCGTTCAATATTACGTTGCAAATAACAACGTGGGTGATGTTTCATAAAACCTCTAGAAGCTGCCCTAGTCTTATCCGTCACATGAAAATCGCGAGCTACCAACCATTGTCCTCCTTCTTAATCAATCTTCTTAGTAATGGTCATTTAACTAGTCGACAACAATCATGTCTGTATGTATCTAAGTTCAAATGCAAATGTTCAATACATACAAAATAAGGGCAATGAAAGTCCTCCACGAATAATCTGTACAGACCACCTTAGTTTTCATGTCTGCAATAAGCATTGCAAGTTACTTCTGACTTCAACAGTCATTGTCGTTCTCATAAGCACTAAAATTATGAACCTTGACAGTGATGGCCTTACTCGACATTAGCAACATGGCAGCCATCATGGATGTATAAGGTATTGTCATCAATGAGACACGATTTCCTCTACGCAGGTTCTTCTTGAACACGCTCAGAGTGACATGGATTCATTTTCGATGGCGTCCAAGGCAATGAATTTAACGATTATCTTGAAATAAGTCGCCTTTATTCAGCACCTACTCTGAGTCAAGTATTTATATGCATGGTCAGAAAAGGCAGTTTGAAAAAAGTAGTTAAGCTATACTCTAAATATGACAAATATTCTTAATGATTAAATCTTCCTGAGAATCAAGAAGGCCATTAATGCATTCGGAGATCTGGGGGGTGTGGTTATGACTTCACTATGGCATTTCAATTTAGACGAATTTAAACATTTACGACGCTTGTGTTTTTTCTTCATTGTTCTATTCATGTAAAATATATGCAAAGGCTGGAACGATTTAACCTTATGTGTCTCTGCCGTATAATGGGTATCCAATGAAAAATGCTATGTCAGTGACGTTGATATCCTCCAACGCAGTCTACTAATATAGCGTTTCGGGTATTTCGCGCCAGTTACGATAGGGTGAACAATTCGTCAGTTTGGTGAGTGAAAAAAAGGCTAGAGCACAAAAATAGAAATTGAGTTATGAAGATTGCATTAAGAACACATGGTAAACATGGCCGACATTTTGCAAAATCACAGGGGAGACCTCGTTCATCCTGTCGGAATGCAGGTAAAAAAAGGGCAAGAAAAATTTGAATAGAATCGTGTCGAGCCTGAAAACTCAAGAGAAAGGTTTGTATATATGCCTTCATGTTAATCTTGCTGAGCAGAGATTTTGATATAACGAGCAATGAATGTGGTCACGTATGCTTAAGAAGGTTAAGCTTCAAAAATCATCAAAGAAAGAACAAAGAGAGAGAGAGAGAGAGAGAGAGAGAGAGAGAGAGAGAGAGAGAGAAATCATTCAAAGCACGTTATTTGGCATTTCTATTGGCAGCGAGTGTGGAAAAGAATGTGAGGATTATGGAATAAAACATAATACTGTTGTTTTTGGAAACATTCTTATCATATATATATATATATATATATATATATATATATATATATATATATATATATATATGTGTGTGTGTGTGTGTAGAGAGAGAGAGAGAGAGAAAGGTGTGTGTGTGTATCTAGCATGTGTGTGCCAGATAGAAGTTGAGAAAAAGCAACTGGAATCTTTAAGAATATTTATTTACAGTAACTTTACCGGTTTCACTGTTCTATGACTTTGAATAATAAAATTAAGATGGTGAGTTGTGTGGCTATGCCATGATAGGCCTCGTATGCAAGTAATTAAATTGAACTGAATATTCTTCAAAACTTCACTTGCATTTTTAACATATTTTTCCTATACTTTTACTCGTGCGTTTCGCAAAAGTAATTGAAACCCGGCGATAATATTTTAAAAATGGTCACATCTTGAGTTTTAATTAATATTTTTTTCTGCTTTATAATTTTTTGAAAGTGGTTGTAATTCATTTAATAAAGTTTATCTTTTCTTAATGAATATATTGTTTAATTAAGATTTGTTGATTATCTGGAAAAAAGTGACATCTTTTAAATATTATCAGAGGGGTTCACTTACTTTTACGCAGCAATATATGTATAAAAAACCTTACATTCACATATATATAAGCCTTTACATTCTCATATATATATATATATATATATATATATATATATATATATATATATATATATATATATATATATATATATATATCATATGTATATGTGCTGGTGTCTGGGCTATCATTTCCTAGAAACTGAGTTGTTTGACTCTCATAAGTCGAATACGACGAGAGAGTCCACCATATATATATATGTGATTTATATATATATTATTTGATTATAGTGGTGAAGACGTTCTGCAGAACCAACCACACTTTTTGAAGTGCGGAATACAGAGACCTGGTACATTATGTTCCACAAGGTCCCGAAACGACCCTCTGCAGGTTTTGAATTCAGAGTTGTCTTTCTCCTAGACCAGCTGCCATCCAAGGCTATAGAATCCAGTTAGTCCTGCTATTTATCATTAGTTGGAGGGAGAAGAAGAGGATTAATATCTTTCCCAAGTGAATGTAATGGATTCGACTGGAATACGAACTCGGCTCTCCGATTCTGCAATTCTACGGGGAATTTTTGGTCGAGCCAACCGGCTCGGATACCCCACATTAAATTCGGCCTTGTGCCACATCTGACCGCGTGGGGCGGTTGGTAGATATTCTGCTGTTGGAGATTCATGCTGGAATTCACTTGACTCTTTTCTAGCAGTTGACTACTACTTCTACACGCCGCTGGCGAATCTTATATGTGTTGTTCTTGTCCTAAGTATTATCGTTCATTACCAACCTTCGTGCGATTAATCTTATGAAGTAACCATCCCTGGGGAGACAGCTTCCTGACCCTGTGTATGCGGGGTTTATGGGAAATGTTTGGCCGAGCCTATGGGCTCGGATACATCACATTAATTTCGGCCTTGTGCCATATCTAACCGCGTGGGGTGGTTAGAGAATATCGTCACCGTTCGTTTATCATTGAAGAAAGAATTCTAAAAATTGTTAAGCCTTATTGTATATTGGGCTATAATAGCTAAAAGTATTTTACAATTATATGTTTGGAGATGAGTATACGAAGTTTGATCAAAAAGTATCGGGACTGGTGGTATAAAGCCACACACTTTGTACAGTTTCCATTGATTTAAGCATTTCTTGAACTTCTTTTGGGATAGCGAACAGCTGCCTCGTTGCATTCTCTCCTTAGTAATGTTTTCTTAGTGGTTTTATCGTCTTTCTTGGCGTGAAATGATTAAAAGGTAGATGTTACCCTATCACTCTAGTTCTGAAAAGTACTGAGTATACTGCTAAGGGATGACTGTAACCTACACGCAAGACGCCAATGGCAACGCTAGCGGTCCTTTGGTGGCAGTCGGCGGCGCGCCACTGGTGGGCCACAGCTGTTACATTATGTTTTAAGAAAATGAACAAGACTCAGAAGCTCCCACCACACGTATAACATTGTCTTTCATGTGTGGTTGTAGAAAATTATGCTCGCAAACCGCTGCTTTTACATTGAACATTACCGTAAGATTATGTCCTAGAAATTGATTCTTACTTTTCATGTATGATTAGGAGTTAGGATGAGACATTCGTCATTACAATTTGTTCCCTGAAAGGGAAACTATTTATGATTCAAACTAATAGATAGATAGATAGATAGATAGATAGATACATACGTACATACATACATACATACATACATACACTGGGGGAAAGAAATATTCGTACACTATGAATTTTTTTTTATTTAACATAGATTTTATTAAAAAAAAATAATCCATACAATTTTTGTATACCATGGCATAATGTTGCAATATGCAAAAAAAAAAAAAAAAAAAATTTCAGAAAAAAAATTGTTATATTATTGAAATTATATGAAATTAAAAAAATTGGAGGTAAAAAAAGTATTCGTACAAAATTATAATACCTATTTAATCCTTTGTAGCTTATTTCTTACTCAATTCAACAGAAATCCGTCTCTTTCTCTAGATTTTAATCAATGATTTACAAGTTTCTGTTGGTATTTGACTCCATTCTTCTTTGCATATTCTCTTTAGGTCTAGGATTTTTAGGAGATCTTTTATTAAATTTAACTTTTAATAAACAAAAATTATCTATTTAATTCAAATCTGAAGACTGTAATCACCATACGAGTGTATCCCAATGTTTCTTCAATAGTAGTAGAGTTTTTTTTTTGCGGGAAACGCGATCTTAGTTGACTTCTATGAAGTTCATTTCTTATTGTTCGTTTCGTAACAATAATACTTGATGCTTTTAATTCTTCTTGTGTTTTTCTCCTAGTAGTCATTGGCATTTTTTAATTCTGCGCTGAATTCTTCTCATTGATCTGGGAAAAATCTTGCGTGGTGCACCTGATCTTGATTTGTTCTCAACAGTTTTAACCTTTTTATACTTAACAATAACGAAGCTAATAGTAGTAAATGGTATATTTAGGATATCTGCTATTTTCCTATAGCTTTTGCCTTCCTTTCAATGTTTGATGATCAATTCTTTTTGCGAAATTGATAATTTAATAACCTCTCACCATGATGATAATTATTGTGTATGATTTGTGTGCAGAAATAACCTTATATAAAATGAATTGAGGAACGTTCTAGATTGATCAGACAATTGGATGAATCTAGCAAAATCTTACAAAGAATTATGTAAAGACATTTTTTAAGAACACTTTTTTAGCCACGAAATTTTATAAATAACAAATAATTTCAGTTATAACAAAGTTTTTTGCATATTGCAGCATTATGCAAGGGTGTAAAAATATTCTATAGATTTTAAGTTTTATCACAAGTTATAAATATATTAATTAAAAAATTCATGTTGTACAAATATTTATTTTCCCCCACTGTACATACATACATAGTTACGACTAGAGATAGATAGATAGGTAGGTAGATAGATAGATAGATACCTACAGATTAATATATATATATATATATATATATATATATATATATATATATAGAAATGAATGAACTAAGATATTTAAAATAGAGTTGATATTTAAGTAGATATTTAAATAGATATTAAGAACGATATATAGTTATAGACAGACTGAGATAGATATATAGATAGATATAAACAAATTGGGATAGATAGATATAAACAGAGTTAGTTCTGGGCAGACTGAGATAGATAAATATATAGATAGATATGAACAAATTGAGATAGATAGATAGACAGACAGACAGACAGATAGATAGATAGATAGATAGATAGATAGATAGATAGATAGATAGATAGATTGCGAAAATGGGTGAAAAGGAATGAAGTATAAAGCAAGAAAACAGACAAATCCCAGACAGTGAGGAAGAGAGATAAATATAGATTGTAAATGAATGATGAATGCAAAAGAGAAAGAGAGTGAGAGAGAGTGAGCGAGAGAAAGAGAGAGAGAGAGAGAGAGAGAGAGAGAGAGAGAAAGAAGAGGAACTTGGTAAATGAAAGCAGTTTGAAAAAGAAGACGTAAAAGAATAGACGGAAGAAGAGAAGCATTGGCGAGAAAGAATAAAAAGCAAATTAGTAAGGAAGTAAATGCTTGGCAGATGGACGTGCCAAAATAGTAAAGCAGATGAGAAGAGTTAAGAAATCAAGAAGAAAATGTAGGAAGTAAATGCAGTCGGTGGATCATATAAAAATCTGAATATTTAACCAATATTTTTTCCAATCAGTTGGTTGATGAAGGCAAAAAAAAAGAAGAAAAAAAATGCTAGTTCTTGCCAGATAGCGTACATCGAATTCTTTCACATGACACAAACTGACACGTCACTAGCCAACAAGCACTAACGCTACCCTGCTTGTTTGTTCAATTTAGTCTCTCTTCTTGTACACAGCAAGTCGTTTAATTCGCAGACAAGTCAGATAAACAGAGGAAGAGTGATTGGATAGAGGAAGGGGAAATAAATCGATAGTGTAAAAGGAATTAGAGAGAAGAATCAAAAAGTTAATAATGATACTGACAGTAAAAGAAAATCTGGAAGGTGAAGGAGCAAATGCTGAAAAATTCTCGACCTGAAGACTTTGCAAAATTTGATCAGATTTTTTAATCTTTTCTTTGAATGAAATGTTTTAAGCAGTCCTAACATGTATAAATATGTTTCTTGGAGTTACGAGAGAGAGATAAGTGATATATATATATATATGCGTGTGTATATGTATATATATATATAAAAAAAAAAGAAAAATTTAAGAGAATGAGAGAAAGGTTGGTAAATAGAGTGATTGATTTGTTTTTACGGGTTATCAACCCTTTGTGCATTATTTAAAGCTGAAATATACGTTTTGGATAGTAAGAATTATTATTTTATTTTTGCGAGTAAATACTGTATTAAAATTTGTTTCAGAATAGCTATGGTTTTACTGGATACAATTAAACCTATTTAATCCATACCTGGGGTGGTGAGATGGAAGGTCAAGTAGAAAAAAGGAGCGAGAGACAAAGCTGGATTTTTTACATCTAATCAAACACGAGACAATCTATTCTAATATGCATGTCTATTTTCGTATGTATCTTGCTATATACATGAGTTATTCTGTAAATACCGAAATATATAAAAATAATATCTATCTATCTATCTACCTATATATATATATATATATATATATGTGTGTGTGTGTGTGTTTTAAGCGTTCTCCTTTAAACAATCAGCTCATTACATATATAAATAATTCAGGCATCCTGGCTGAAAAACTAAGAGAAACAAATATGACTCACAAACTCATAGCCAGTCGAGTTAGAAAATCCCTTTACACCAGCGTCCCGGTTAATAAATGCTTTAATCTTTTGAAAAGGCATCTAACACAATAAAAATAAATCTCTCCCTACCAATATCTAAAAGAATAAAAATCGCGCATCTCATTTCTAATCAATGGTATTTCACATTTAACAATAGAAATTATATATGAAATGGTAACAAACAATACTTTACCTTTCCTAGTTATCATGCTACATCTTGTTAACTGTAGCTTAAAACTTAGTTTCCACTGAAATTGAACGAATAAAAATGATCTCATTATTTTCTATTCTTTTCATAACAACAAAATAAAATCCGGAATAATCATCAGATTCTACTTAAGAGCACTCAGAATTTGTAGCCCTCAGTATTTACGTAAACATGAGAAATACACTGAAATTACTTTCAGGCTAGCCCAATAACCTGTTTCATATCTAATGCTAAAGAGAAAAGAGGCCCTTCCTGGCAAACCCAACAAAAAAAAAAATACTTTCTATCACAACTAAAACTGAAAATAATTTATCTGAACTCAACATAAAATTTGACTCAATTATGGCTAAAACAATTAAAGACATAATTAACATAAAACAAAATAATAAGCTAACACATGAAGGAGGAATTTATTCTATAAGCTGTAATATTTGCCACATGGAATACAACAGAGAAACTTCAAGGAATTTAAATAAAGAATATATGAACACAAAATATATCTTTTACAAAACCACACATTGCATGCATTAGTGGTTCACCTTGATGAGACTTACAACAATTTTGATTTAAAAAATTCAACTCTAATTAAAAACAATTTACGAAAATGTTTAGAAAATACATTAATCGCTAGAACATGCACAGTAACATTGCGTCCAGGGTCTTACAAAGTTTCACCTTTCTTGACGGATCTTCTATGATCAAAATGTGCGATATTTAATAACAAAAGTGACGGAAACATAAACAAAAAGAAAAAAAAAAAAAGAATCTAAATGGGATTGGATAAATTATATACCCAAAACATATTAAAAAAATATTTTAAAACTTAAAATTCCCAGCGTCCCTTGTTCATGCGCATGTGCAGTTGCATCAAGCGTAAATTTAATCCGCTGATACATTATTTACATTATTCGGACTATTGTAAATAATGTACATAATACCTCATCTCAGAAATATAGACAGATTAATCCGATGATGTCATAAACTTTTTCCATTTTGTTATACTTCTTTACCCTAAAATTGTTCTTGATATTATATAAACAAATTCTATATATTTATTACACACACAGACACAGACTCATCTCTCTCTCTCTCTCTATATATATATATATATATATATATATATATATATATATATATATATATAGGCAGCATATCTACATTCAAAAATGTTTCATTGAATAATAAAAACATATTGTGTTTACTTATTTTATACTAATCCTTTCCAGTTGATGCTGAGATGAAATTCATCAAGGAAGGCGCCATATTTTGTCTTTTTAATTTATCCCTGTAGATGATCTTAGAAAAAGGTCTAAAGCAACTTGGTTAACAAAAACTACTGCGCCTTCCTTGATATATATATATATATATATATATATATATATATATATATATATATATTTGTTTGTTGTTGTGCGTGTTCTATTTTCATTGTCTGCCCACATGCATTCTGATGCACATGCATGTATAAGTAGATGCGTGAGCGCTATTATCCTTTCAAATGTTACTTCCGTAACCGTCCATTGCTTGTTTGTAGATCAGCTTCACTTCAAGGAATAGGATAACCGTTACCATTCCTTTATGCAAATATCCGTTTCATAGAACCTTCGACATCAAAGTCAGTGGGCGTTTTGCCGAAAATCACTCCAGTGAGTGAAGGCGTGGTTCATTCGATAAAAAAAAAAGACAAACACAATTTTCAATAGTAGCTAAACATCTAAGTTAACTGCTTGTTATCAAACACTTCTAAAAGGATTATTGTTATTTTAAGACATATAACACAGAGCTATCATTGATTATTGCGGCAAAAGGGTTTCATAATTAGTTATCTGTATTTATGGAACTCATTGCAGGCACTAGGGAGATGAACGTATTCAATGTTACGCCATGAGAGACATCCAAAACACTCATTTTGATAATCAGTTTATTTGAGTTGCTTAAATTCTCCATTACAAATTTTGTTCTGTAAAATATTCTGGCATGCTGTCGAAAAAAGAACACGATTTTAAGATATCTGTCTACAGGAGAATGCAAAGGTAGAAATGAATTCATGCCTTAAAAAATGGGAGTAGTATGCCGGAATAGGTTTTGCACTCAGTTTTACACCCGATTATCAAGGAAATCAGGTGCAGGCTTAATCTGAGTTGACTCCAGTTGGGAGAAGAGATCTGCAATTCATCTGTTGTTATTGGTGACCCCAAGGCTGCACCTGATATGTGTGTGTGTAAGACTAATGTCTGCTGCCGTTGAGCGCGTAAAGCAAGCCGCCGCCGGAGCTGGGGCGAGAGGCTCCGCAAGCCAGCCAGCCAGCCGGTGTTCGTTTGCCGTTGCCGGACGAGCATCGTGCGCTTCGGCTGGGCCGCCTCCGCCGTAAAAGCTCTATGCCGCCGTTGACCATGTTAGGCAGGCTGCCGGGGCCGGTCTTCGTTTGCCGTCGCCGGTCTTCGTTTGCCGTCGCCGGACGAGCGTCGTGCGCTTCAGCAAAAGTGTACGACAGAAGTGCCGATTTTCGACTTTTTGGAAAAAATTCAAAAAAATAAAATTCGAAAACGAAATTGAACGTATTGTTGTTTTTTTTATGTCGTTTCTAACGTTTTTGAATAGTTTCTGCAGTGAATAATATGAAATTTAAAAATGCCGCGTCTGTCTATATATCTATAACTACCCTCTGGGTAGTTGTTTATATATAAACAATTATCCCAATTATCTAAGATATTGTAGCCATGAATGTAACAACGACGTTTCGGAAATGTTGCTCCGGTGTTCGCGCGCAGACGCGAGTGCAACTGACGAATTATTGTGGAAATAAAATGTGATGTATGAAAAAATCATGCCTCGTGTTATCATTGTCCGGCACATTTTACAGGCATCCGCAATTCTTATGTTAGTGAAAATTGAACAAATAAATTTATTACTGTGTTCTCCGTCTGGGAATAGTTATTATTATTATTATTATTATTATTATTATTAGTACTAGTAGTAGTAGTAGTAATAGTTGTAGTTTATTGTTATTACTGTCTTCTCTTCCTCCGCACGTTCTTCATTTTCAAATGGAATTTTTGCATCTTGAGTGTTCTACATCACATCATAAGACTTCAAACAGATAGAACCTTTCGCAGAATATTTGCAGGGTCAAGCAACACCGACTTATGAAACGATGTGATGTTAGGCTTTATTCCGATATTCTTAATATATGTCCTTAGGATTGGTTGTATAGACGCCAACGCCCCAATGATAACTGAGGGGACAGTATAGCCTGAACGTCCCACTATCTAGCAACCTTTATCAGGAAGTCAGTTCATTTTTAATTTTTTTCAATGGCTTTCAACCTCCAATTATGGGAAGCAGGAACAGCCACATCGATGATGAGGCATTTTCGTGTTCCTTATTTTTCAACGACACTGGTATCTGGTTTGGGGACCTGAAGAATGCTGAAATCATATTATTATTATTATTATTATTATTATTATTATTATTGCAAGACTTCGGATCTAAATCTAAAGAAGATAGCACATAAAGCGGAAATAAAGAGATATATCCTGAAAAAACTTGAACGTTCAATCCTATGCCTCGAGTTTATGTACATCACCACAAACTCTTGAACGATTAACCGAGGTGCAATTTATTTTGGGATACCTCCCTGAAAATCATCGCTGTCATTTTTATATGATGATTGATTAATATCAGAACGAACCATGAGTAACATTCCGTAATTCTATCAGTTTTAACCTTCACACCTGAGACCCGCCGTGACAAGTACACTGTAGCGGACCAGCTTCATTCCATTTATATTTCATTAGTGAGAAGCAAATTCCAGTCGTACAGTTTCTCCCCGCGAACAACGACGTTGAAAAACGGACACCCAAGAGGATGCTCGCCCGACCATTACAATTATAACCTGTTCAAGGCTAGGATTAACCGTTATCTTACCCACGAATCCCCACAAATTGCAACTCTTACCCCCTGTTCTTTTCACTCATACAACAAACTCCATCACTCACCTTCTATCTCGTGTTGCACTTGGGTCTTGTATAAGGTGTATATTAGTTAAATAAATAAATACAGAAAGACTGAATGCGTAATTGCCAGGAAATGGAATAACCCAATTCACGAGTTACGTACTGGATACGACAAAAGAAGTCTGGATAGTGTAGTAACAGACAAGGGCCAGCGTGATTCCGATATCCGAATGCAAATAGAGATAGCAAAAATGCTTTTCAGAACCTGAACTCAGTATTAAGGATTCAGAAAAACAAAGACGTGTGCTGAATTGCCATATAGTATCACTACTATGGCAGTGAATGTCGAACAGTCTCCTTTCAGGTAACCATTATCTGTAAGAAGATGGTTGTCAGGAAAAGGGACAACCCTAGTGACGAGCTACATATTGTGGACATCAAAATTAATCAGCTGTGGAAATTGAACTATCTGGTTAGACGACGCAAAATGTGATGGAGAAGGCTGTGCAAAATATTAAGGAGCCGGAGCAGAAAATGTGCTGGACTGCTATGTAATCTCTAATCTATACTATCAGATTGTGTGTTGGATAGTCTCTTCACAGATGAGAAATTAACGTCAAGCGAAAGAAAGATTGTTGTACCGATAGATGCTGAGAAAACTGTGAACAGAATATGTGAGAAACGAGAAAGTTTTGCAGTGAATAGGAATCACATTAATATGGCTGCTAGAACATAGCATGTGAATGGCTTCGTACACATAATGAGGAAAGAAGGTTTAGAAAATTTAACTAGGCACATCGAAAACGAGTGAACAAAAATGTAATCTACTTGAAAATTTGAACAAAAGGATGGTGGAGCAAGTTCCAAAAAGATAAAAGAAGCCGTAAAACTGTAAATATTGCTGAAAGCAGATGAGACTGGAATATGCGGAGAGCCATG